CATATGTCCAGAGCACAAAAAGAACTATTAGAACATCAACGGGGATAAGGCTGGAAAGTCAGATGGGGATGAAATTACGTGGCATTTTGTATATATCATACGTAAGAAATTTTTATGTTACTCACTGGGGCAGCGGAGACTCATTGGAGGTTTTAATCAGATTTTAATTCTAATGTGGCATATAGAGAATGTATGAATGGAATTCCATATGACATGTGGAAATAATGAGGTCTTCTGACCACACAGGTGGAAGGAAATACAGGCGAGGACAAAGATATAGGCCCTAGTTACAAAGTGTCTTCGAGGTGGGAGTCAAGGGACATCATTTTCATGGAAATACCAGTATTTGGTGACCAATCGTACTTCAGAAGTGTGTATGCTGGATTTCAATTTTGGATGCTCCTGTGAAAGAGAAGAAAATGTGTACAATCTGGAACAGGTGAGTCTGAGATGCCTGTAGAGATTCTCAGTAATTAATTGGCAACAGATTCCAGAGTCCAGGAGAGAGGCGAGGGATGCAAATATAAATCTGAGTCATTAGCACTGAGGGGACATAGAACTGCTTCCAGGAATTCATCTTTTCAGAAATATAGAGAAGACAGTCCCATAACTTAATAGTATGTACTTTCTACCAGGAAATTGTTAAGTGTTTTCTTTCACTTGTAAAAATTTGTGTTCAAGTTTTAATTAAATTCCTCTTTATTTTCATTCTTTTGAAACTGTTTAATGATGTCATATTACTTGTTAATGAAAGCATTTCAAGGACAAATAGGAATGGCTTTTCTAATTTTGTCATTTTTCTTTGGGATAGAAGATTTTTATTATGGTTCTAAAAGAATGCTTCAGGATCAAATGCTGAATGTAATAATAAATCTACACTTGATCTCTTGTTTTTATGGTATTCGGGCTACAAAAACTTCCATGTATTCTTGTAAATTTGGCTAGTTTTAATTAGGTGACTACCATATCCCAAGCCCTGCAGGTGCTAGAGGGTGAGAAAATATGCTGAATATTTTAGTGTTTAAGAAAAATATTTCCAACAACTACTGAAAAGAAGTCTCTTTCTGTTATCTCTAAAAAGATTAAATAAACAAAAAACTCCTGTGCAAGGAGAAATGGTTAAGGGATAGTTGTCAATAAACATAAAGCACCTTCTTTTAGAAATGCAACTAAATGAGGTACCTGGATAGCTCAGTTGGTTAAGTGTCCGACTCTTGATTTCGGCTCAGCTCATGATCTCATGTTTTTTGAGTTTGAGCCCTGAATGGGGCTTTGGGCTGTCAGTTTGGAGCTTCCCTCCTCCTCTGCCCCTCCCTTTCTTTCTCTTTTTCAAAAGAAATGCAATTGAGCGGAAATGCTAAAAAAAAGTTACCATTTGTTATGAATTTTGTATAAAGGCAGGAGTGAGAAATTTGAATGTTTTATATGGGTTGGGGCTACTTTTAAAAATTTTAAACTAAATTACTATAAAAATAGATACTGCTTCAATGGTAACATAAGAGAGTAACAATAAAAAAACAGGGAAGGTAGCTCTGAGAATAAAATCCTAAAATCTGTTCTTTCTTAAAGTCAAAACTGTAAACATGTCCCTAAATACAGACTAACTAGAATTAGTCATCCAAGAAATATTGAGTTCCATCAAAGTATAAATCATAATAGGGTTTTATGTGATGGTTTAATTTTTTCATAATATATATTAAAAAAAACAGGAGAGGCAGTTAATTTTATTAAGCTTAACAATACCATAGGAAGTGCATTTTATCTTGCCTCTGGCATTAGCCACTGAATGAACACTTTATTTTTTCTATAGAGAAAAGAGAAACAATTGAAAACAGAAATGGAAATAAGAGAATAATTAATGGCAATAGACCAATATATGTACTGAGTGTCTAGTATATGCCAAGCTAGTGTTAGTAAAGGTCTTTTACTCACTTTGTAAATAAAATACTAAAGCTAATATTAACTAATGTACCATAAATGACCCAATTAACCAGGTCAGAGCAAGGCTCTAAACTGATATTCTTGGACTCAGTAGTTCAGTTTTCTCCACTTTGTTTAATTATGGAAATAATACAGATATATAGAAAAATGGGTAAAAAGTACAATTTCCTGTTCCAATTCATTCATATATAAATGCCAGAGGTAATTATATTCCAGATAGATTTCTATGCATTCCTAACAGATTATATTACATTTATATAGATATTATACGTATTTTATTGAGAATAGTGTCTATATTTTTCATAAATAAAATCATTCAAACTAAGTTATAATACGTATTTTTTCCCTTCTTTCAATTTTCTATATGACAATACATATAGACCTCTCTTACCCCAGTGGCTATATAGCATTCTATACTATGGATGCACCACAATTTCTTTAAACATTCCTGTCTAGGTAAATATTTAGTTGTATCCATTGTTCATGTTATAACAGAAAGGGTTCCTGTATAGACTTTTTTCTATGTGTATTTGTAGACATGAATTCATTTAGATGAAAAAATATTGGTTTTAACTTCCATTTTGCCATTAAGTTGATAATATAGAAACATTAGAATACATGTAGTATGTGCTTTTTAGTTATTATTTGTCCACTTTTTAAATTTAGTTTTGAGAGAGACTGGGAGACCCAGAATCTGAAGCAGGCTCCAGGTTCTGTTCAGCACAGAGCCTGATGTGAGGCTCTAACTCACAAGCCAGGAGGGAGATCATGACCTGAGCAGAAGTTGGACGCCCAACTGAGCCTTCCAGGCACCCCTATTTGTTCACTTTATTAATGAACTCCTAGGATAGGTGTCTTTATATACTTTTGGTTACTATGACAATACCAGCATTCTATGGCAATGTCTATTCTATGGCATAAGTCTATTGTTTTGACCATGATTTTTTAAATCTATTTACTTGATTAATAGTTGTTAGGTACCCACCATATCCTAGGCACTCAGCCAGTGACTGGAGATGGAGAGAGGAGTAAGACATAGTCCCTGCCAACAAGAAGATTATGGTAGAGTGGGACAGCTTTTTTCTGCATTTTTGAACACTTATAAAGGAATAATGTAATTTTTAACATTTATGATCCAGATGTTTTGTGTCATTTAGACGCATACAGATCTATGACCAGTTATCCTTTTTAATACTAACTATGGCAACTTAAACTTAAGAGGATAATTCATCTAGGTTATCTTCCTCATTTTCATCTGCATTAGAATTAGAATGATGTCATAAATAGTGTGGCTTTTTGGAATTCTATAGGTCATCATGGTCCAGATGACCAGCTGACTTTTTTCCATAAGCTGTTGAAACACATTATGGGAGACAATTCTAAATGTCCATTCAGTATCCATGGTAAATGAACTCCATGGAGTAGTTACATGAAAGTGTAGTAAAATATTCAGTGATTTTTGTGCTAGAAGTATTCAAGTAACACTTCTCTAGCCAAAGAGACTTACAGGGAGGTATGTAAAACCTTTAGGGAGTCTTGTTTCTCCTAATAAAAGGACAGTCATGGTTACTGCAGCCCTTCTCTACCCCTATTTCTTCTTGCCTTGAATGTGGACATTATGTCTGGAGTTTCAGCAGCCCTCATGTGACCAGCTGATGACAAAAAGTTAACTTTAAGGACTGAAGAATGGAAAGATAGAAAGTTTTTGGTTTCTTGACAAAGTCACTGAGGACCCAAACAAATGTTAAGAGTTGACTACTTTCATTTGGGAAAAAATGAAACACTGCACCTTTAGTCGTCTAAAAGTTAAACTTTTGCCATTTCCAGCTGAATTCATTGGGATTCCATTGGTTTTGGTAGTAGAGGCCTCTCACATTCATTGTGAATCAATATATAAGCTGGACCATTTCTAAATGCTCTGTCATTGTTCTGCCTATATTGTTGTTCCTATTATTTTGTTTCAAAAAGTTACTTTTCCATGCTGTAATCTAGAAACTATGGCTTAAATATCTTCCTGCTTACACTGAAATTTTGGACACTAATTAGGATTTTAATATTTTTTGGTTTTTAAAAGAAAAAAAATCCATTTTTAATATTCTCCATTGAGCCATACAGATCCTATTTCAAGTATGGTGTCAAAACTCAACAGAGCTATTAATTTCTCTCTGTAGATTCTTGACACTTTCAACTGCATTACCAATATAACCATAATGTTCTGGACAGTATAACTTTTGCTTCCTAATTTCACTCTAATGCACTAAGTAAAGAACTCACTGGTGTGTTTTTCCTCGACTATTATAGACAGCTTGTCTACTGAGGATAAGCTATTTCAAACTCTATTATAAATTCCTACAAATTCCAAGTCCACCTGAAGACTCGCAACTAAGCAGCCTCCAGATGCCCACCTTGCAGAGCCACTTTCTGACATCTAAAGAGAGTACAAGAAACCGTGTTATAGTCTGACAGGTCTCTCTAATAATTGGACTGTAACACACAAAAAAGCTGTCTTAGACTTTTACCCAACCATCAATTTTGTTTAAACACTACATTTTTACCTGGTCCAAAGGACATCTTCAGACACCCAAAACAAAAATGTAACAGATGTGCTTATTCATGCATTTTAAAATTTTACTGAACTGTAAATTTCTATGAATTTACAGAAATTCATAGAAAACATGATATGGGTAAACATTTACAAAAGACATTTAGAATAAGCACCATTGGGAAAATATCCTAGTTGTGGAGGAGTTATTTTATACTGTTCAGTTAATAACAGAATAAAATGTGGTCCTCATTTGGCCATACATGGTAAAATGAGATAGGTCTAAAACATTTGGCTCTCTTCATTAATTGGGCTCATTGAAAATGTTGCCCTATTAAATTCTGTAGTGCTTTCTTAAGATACTTGGGTAATAACTTAGATTCGTTCTTGATTTGAATGCCCATTAATTTCCTAACCTAAGGCTTTGTTATTGGCATGTGAGTCATGGTTTACTGTGATCACTTCACAGAAATATTTCCCCCCAGAGATGAAGCTGATAAAAAAAAGGAGAGTTTACCTGATTTCCTCCCATACCATGACAGTTGAATATACCCACTTTTTCATTTTCCTTGCGGCCCATGTTGTCTAAACATTGGTTGGTTTCAACATTTCTTATCTAAAGGAAACATACAAAAAGATGTCAGAAAATCTTCCTGGTGTTATCAAATTGTATATTCATAATAAGATGATACATGTTTGCAAGGAAGTTTCTCCAGAAAGAACACACAAATATTTTTCTTTTTCTACGTCTATTCTTAATTTTGTATAAATTTCTAAACTCCTACTTAAGTAAACTTGAACAGCAATGGCATTGTCATTAGCATCTAATCAAGAGGCACTCCTTGTTTATAGCATAGTAGCAGAGAACAGGGAAATATCTGCATATTACAACTTAGTCATTCATCCTCAAGTCCTTTTAAAATTAGGGCAGTTGCCAGATTCCACGCAAAAATCCATAGTCTATTCTCAAACTCCTATAGTACCATATGCAAAGGAATTGAAACAAATTGGTTAAATATTCAAATTTATGTCTTTTAGATTGCTTTACTACTAGATATTCCATCATATGTTAACAAAGATTAATTATTGTTTATTTCTATAACTAAAACATATCCATTCATCTTTTTTCATTCCTAATGCCAAACTTAATGGGAAAGAGTTGGCCTAAGAAAAGCTATTATAAAACTAACTAGTAATTTCACATTAAAAATCTCTCAAAAACAAGATTAAGTTGCCAAGTGCAAACATAAGATTCTTGGTTTACACTCAAATACTGCATTAGTTTCATAATTAACATAATGTCAATTCGTATTTGAGACACATGTAATTACAAAAGCCATTCATTGAGTTTAAAGATGCTAAAACTACTAAATCAAACACAAATGAATAATTAAAAAGGCATTTCCAATTAATGGAATGGGAATATTTTAAATTTTTCCTTTAGTCTTAACTACAAGTATGTATTTATACTTGTCCACTCTGCTTCTGAAAAATTCTTGTCTCTCTTATTAGAACATGCATATCTTACTTTTCACTCATAAATTATTTGCATACCCCTAATTAGTCATCTATGCTTTAGGTACATATTTCTTCATATTGCAATGAATAAGATCAAAAACTTCTAAAAAAGATTGACTAGGTTTATATGAATCACTTTTTTGTATGATGCAGAATGCAAAAGGCAAGTAATGGCTTCCGGAATTGGGAAAAGTGGTATGATTTGCTTTAAGGCCCCAGCCAGCAATTGAGAATAGTGGGGATTAGAATTCATACTTGGCAAAAGTTGACAGAGCTAAGCAGAAGTGTCAAGCCCTTGTTCCAATGCATTGAGATTTAGAATAGGATTACAGATGCTTTCATCAAGAACCTGAGCTGCAACACACTAGAAAGAACAGAACACACCATGAATATTAAAGAGAAAGGATATAAGCTTCAGGAAGCAAAATCATGTTCAAGTTACATACTAGTAGGTGCAGGGCTGAAATATACTCTCAATCTGATATAGGCTGGTTCAGGCACTGAAGAATACTGAGCCCCTAAGTGAAGATTAAAGGCTTCATGACCTGTAGCTTGACAAGACTGAGAAAGATAACAGTTGATAGATGATGTTTATCAGGTGGCCTAGATTTCACATAAATTCTTTACATCAAACTTTCTTGTTAACATTTCATAAGAGGCAGCCTTTTTGAGAAATAATAAAATGGTATATTATCCTACAGGTATGGAATGGTATAATACTACAACCCTTACAGGAATAAGTAGCTCACAAAATGATTAATTTACCTTTACATGTAGGCTATGCAGTCTGATTCAGAGGACCTCTGCTAGATTCATGGTACTTGAATAGTTCAGGTTAATAATTATTGGGGCAACAGGCTGAGTCATTTATAAAATTTTGTCTTTTTGCTGGACAACACAAGATTTGAAGCCATATTCAGACCTGTGCATATTCTGACAGTAGCATTTTAAAGGGACATATGAGAATGCATGTTATCCTTTTTGACAAACTAAGCACAGAACTTAAGAATGCTTCCAAAGTATTTTGTCCTCAGTAACAACCAATTATTGACCTATAGCTCACAAACCTATATGCTTCGTCTGTAACCCCGCTTATGAATGCATTTATTCAACACATATTGAGAGTATGTGCACTTCATGTAAACATATTGAAGGTGCTGAGGCTACTGAAGTGAACAAAAGTGAACATAGTCCTTTCCACCACGGAGCTTATATTTTAGAGAAGAATGTAATGCACAAATGCATTTGTCATATGTCAGAAGATCAAGAACTTCTATGAAGAACACAGGAAGGGTAGAGAAAGCAATGGAAGGAGTACTATTTTAGATAGGGGACTAGGAAAGGCCACTCTGAGAAAATGATACTTGAAAAGATACCTTAGTATACTGAGAGAGCAGCCATATTTCCATGTATGGAAGAGCATTCCAGATCGGGGGTGGGATCGGGGGAGGAGCGAGTGGATGCTCTCTGCAGCTGAGAAAAACTGAGTGAAGAAACAAGCTAGTAATGTGGCCAGGGTGTAGTTAACAATGGGCAGAGGAGAGAGGTATTCAAAACTAAATAATGTAAGAAGTAAGTTTTTAAGCATGAAGATGGCCTATTTATAGTTTTCTGTGGCTGCTGTGAGGAGAACAGCTTAGACGGAGCAAAGAGTAGAAGCAGAGAAGCACATAAGGGGACTCCTGTGGTCATGCTGGCTAGAGATGGTGGCTGTTTGAAATAGGATAGAAATAGAGGTGGACAGGTCAAACTGGGGATGTTTTTAAGATAGAACCAAGTAAGACTTGCAGTTGAACTGGATATGAGCTATGGGGGGGAAAGACATCAAGAAGCATTCCGAGGTTTTGCTTGAGCAAATGGACAAATGATGTTTCTCTTAACTGGGAACAATATTCTGAGTTCTTGCATGTTAATAAATATATCTGTGGCCTTTATATTTGAAAATTAATTTGGTATATCTGAAATCCTTGGCTCACAATCTATTTCCTCCAGTATCTTTAAATGTTATGCTATTTACTTCCAGTGTAAATAGTTGCTTTTGAAAAGTCTGATGATAATTTGGTTTTCTTTGCCTTATTCTTTTTCACAAATGTCTATTTGCCTGACTGCCAAACTGACCTTTCTTTTCTTTAAGGTTCAATAGATTTACCACAATGCATCTTAACATCATTCATTCTGGATCACTCTTCCAGATATATAGCATTCCTTTTCAACATGAAGCTTGAATTTTACTTTCAGAAAAACATTTTCTTAAATTATAGGTAGTAATGTTCATTTTGTTTTATTGCTTTGATCTTCCCCACTAGGAAATCCTATCATTTTGGATCTTATTGCTTTCTTCTATATGTCGCCTTCTATTAAAATTGGAATTATTGGGGGCTTCTGGGATTATTGACCTGTGTTGTTCAGGTTTAGCCTTCATTTCTAAATGAATACATGCTTTATAATTCTTTACTACATTTCAGACCCTCATTTCAAAGGTATTTCTAAATTTGATTTATAGCATTCTTTTCTGTATTTTATCATACAGTTTCTTTTAGTTCATTTTGAAATATTAGGTTACACTTTTACTGTCTATGGGCATGAAGTGTTGATGTCCATACATTGTTTGTAGACAGATCTTTCTCCTCCTTATCTTTTGCTTCCCCTCCTTGTTATCTTTATTCTTACTGTGGCCATCCTCTTCTCATCATTCTTGCTGGTCTTATTGTTGCATGAATCCAATTCTCCTGACCTTTTAAGAGAGAGGCTTTGATCAGAAGATCATTTCTTTCTTTTCTACTTTTGGGAGTCACCTGGCATCTTCAAACTCGTCTGTTGCCTGGTTCCCAAGTCTGCACATTCCCATGTAGTTGGTAGAGGAGGTAACTTGGCCATCAGGGGCTTTTAAATCTTCCCAGGTAATTCTAATGTGCAGCAGAGTTTAGCAACTACCATTTTGGAGGGAGGTATGCAGGGTTTTGATGTTAAATGGTTACATTACTGTTATAATTAGTTTTCCTTTCTAAACTAATTTCTTTTTCAGTGGTTCCCATCAGGAAAGCTTTTATAATATGCTTCTGCTTGGCCTCACCTTCATAGATTCTGATCCAAATGGTCTGGAATAGGACCAGGAGACAGCTTAAAACTCTGCAATTAAGGTGAGTGTATATTCAGGGTTGAAACCCCTTGCATCAAGAGAACACAGTGGAGTACTTGCTAGCTGGAGGCCTGTTTTGTGAGTCGTTTTGAAAACTCTGGGTGTTGGTGGAAAGAAAAGGTGGGGTTTATAGTAAAGTTGATTCCTTCAGTACTCAGCGGTAAAGTTGAAGGGCAGATGTTTCCAGCTGTCGGGACAGGGAATGTTTGTACAGAAGACCACTTCTAACTAACTTTACAAGTCTGACTTTCCCGTTCCTGTACTTTCCTGAAAAAGTTGAAAAAGTAGACTTCTGTTTTTTGAGATCTCCTGGTTCTGTTCCTCTCTTCTATTTTCATCTGGATTTTCCATTTCCTTTATCCTCATTGTCTCTTCCTCCTCAATTGGGCTTTATTCCTTGAAGTTTCTCCTAAGAAGGAACTTCAGCTAGTGAGTTTTAAAATTCACAACTCTCATAGTGTGTAAGCCTTTCAGACATTAGAAATGAGACTTTTCACTGACTTACAAATTGGATTGTATGAAAACACCTCTCCCAGTTTCAGCTATTATTGTCAAATTGGCCTGAGGCAATTTCAAATGAGTATCTGTTGGCACTTTGGGGGTTATATGGGTCTCATTTCCCATCAGACATCCCATTGCTTTCTTTGGATCCTCTTGCAAAGATTGGAGTTTCACATGGTCATGAAATTGACAACTTATATTTTGGAATTTGTGAGACTACCTGCCACCTAATTTGGTGGTCAGTGTTTTCTATCATAGTTTTGTCTTGTTATCCTGGATGCTGTGTTTTAATGGGAGAATTCAATGAGATTCAAATACTGTGTCACTGCTACCACTGTTTATTTTTGGATTTCTAAAATAGACTGATTTGGGGGACTTCATGAAAAGAAGCTAGTGCTTTCTAACTACTCCACAAAATGATTTGGTAGTTTCTGGACATGTAATATTACCTGTCCCTT